AGTACGGGTACAGTAATAGGATTGATGTCCAGCTCCGCACCGAAGTTCTGAGAACTACAATGTTCAGCACAGATTACCGCATTTACGCGATTATACTTCGCGTGCGACTACAGAGCAATATAGGCCGCACCCCGTTCTCGGTTCGATATTTGATTGAACAAGCCGCAAAATACAGCTTTATTGGAAAGTTTCGGATGAAAAAAATGCCACCTATAAAGTGTAGTGATCTCTTTCCGTGTCTACGGTAACATGCATGCAACATTTGAGAAGACTAAGGAAACGTCAGCTTTCTTGCGAAACGAAAGAAGGAAAGCTGCAGCTATTCAAAGTATTTTTTAATAAGGGAACGTGCGGTAATGTCACAAATCGAAAAAAACTATGCGCTATCATTTGGGTCTTGCAACAACGGAGGCCTGGTCTCATATACAGTACTGTACAGCGTTTTTTTAATAATAGAACTCCACAACATGTTTTAGATAAATACTGAGGGTGTTTTTTGATCTGCGATAATTTTTCATCAAAATTTTGGAGTTTCATCAATCTAGACTTGGTCACCACGGAAGTGGTCCCATAAATTCACAAAAACCGGGTACAGTGAGTCTATAGCTTTCACGTTGCGTACCAGCTATGAAGTGGCATGCATATAATGTCCTAACCGACATATTGATTTACTTTCATGCGAGAGTAATTTCAAATATAATTGAAAATCAATTTCATCATGCTTATTGTGAACTAGTTATGAACAAACTTGAATATAATTAGACACTTTTCCGAGGGGAAACGCACCCATAACTACACTACTGAAGTTCTCAAGTTTCACTGCTGATCACGGGAGAGGGATGCGGCAATCCATTTCAATTTGTGTTTCTATTTTGTCCCTTCAATAGAGAATAGAAAAATAGAAAATCACGCATAACGAACATGAATGCATGGCGCAAGTTTTCACGACTTATTCGAAAACATGCTGCGCTAAAAGCGAGCGATTACGGCTGATATTGAGTTTTAAAATTGCTCAAATACCCTTCATGGCGAGGAATAGTTGATTGATCAGCGCAAAGACCTAGACGCAACCATATTTGAGCATTTACCACTGATTCTCGAGAGGAAGGCAAAAATGCCTTCCAGTTCGAAAAGTTAAAGCTTTTGATCCGAAAAACTACTTCCGCTCATGACTGTTACGGGGACTGAAACTTGAAAGATTCTGAAACGACGACTGTTCGACCCGAGGCACGACGGAACGCTGACGATACAACAACTGGCGTACAGAGAAAAAAAAACGCCGACAACGTCTCGATTTCCCATTACCGCCTCGACCGGTTGTTCCGTGAGGCGCCCGAGGGACGGGGCGTTCATAAAAACACACGACTGCTTATCTCATCGCCGCCGCCCGCAAAGGTGGTTAATGCGAGCATTAAGCACGCGGCGATTAACACGTTCCGAGAGAAGAAGAAAAAAGAAGATAGATCCAATTCCGAATCGACTGACACCCGGCAACAAAATAAACGCCTCACCATCGGAAACAAAATGCAGCCGTGAACGAGGAAACTCTTGTCCCCACGGTTTTTGCTTACATCACCTGGTACCCAGGGTCGCATGAGAGAACGAGGAAAAAAAGATAATTTCGCGTTATGCAGAAGAAAAAAAAGGACAATTTTTTCCCTGGCCTCGTGTTCCACACACCACCCCCTCGCAGCGCTTGACCCTACCCCCAGTGGCACAGAAGTCATCCACGCGAACCCCTTGTAATTATAAAAAACGAGAGCGAGAGAGAGATAGAAGCAGGGCGAATTCTGACGCCGGGCAACAAGTTCGGTAGCAGCGGGCGGAAGGGAGAGAAGAGGGGAAAAAACGCAACGAACACGCGCTTAAATTGCATGTAATCAAGTCGTAATGAACGGGAGTCTACAGACGTAACCTGTCCAGCTCCCGGTCCGATTCGAGAGCCGTTGCCCTCATCGAGACCCGGACGAGATCACGTGAAAATATCTAGTGCGGCCCCGGGTTCAGTCGCCCGATGCAAGAACTATACAGCTATGTCTCGGTTAATGGACAATCCGTTCCCAGGGGAAGCCCATTCAACGAATAATTGAAAGCTAAATGAAGATAGCTCGTGGGTTCAAAAAGTCTCGTGAGCACGGAATGTAATGACGTACGGTATGTCAATCGGTACCAGGTTCCTCGAAAATATCCACGCGCGAAAATTTGCCAGAATGCATTGCTTATAGATCATGTCAATGAAAAATATCAAGACAGCAAGTTACTCGGAAAAAGGAAATCATGCTAAGAATCATAACTTCAAAAAGGCAGTTAAAAAAAAACTGAGGCTGGCAGTTTATTTCATGAAGATTTTTTCACAGAATCATCTTTCAAACAGTCCATCATCAGACGTGGGCAAGAACTTGCGTCAGTTTGAGTTGACCGTGCGGAAAAGTCCATTATCCGAGGTGCTCAACATCCGGGGTACCAGTGCACTGCTTCCCTGATACGCCAAAAAACTCCTCTCTCGGCCAGGTAATGTAATTAAATACCTGTGAGACCCGAAGCTCCCAGGAAACTTCCCTGCCCTCAACCGTGAAAATTTTCATTAACCGTAAAATTCGCTCGTTCCACCGTTTCGAATGGACGAAAAAGAAATGCAATGTTCTCATTGCGATTATGCTGTGGTATCCACATCGACCGACTTCCGAAACGACACGAATGTGTTCTAATTTGTCCCACCTCATGCTTTCGTGTGTTCAGTTCCCCGATCTAAAAACCGATTCTGTCCTAAACATCATCGTATTCCCCTGAATTTCAAGGTTTAAAACACCGCGATTTCCCCTCCTTCATTCTATTTTTTTTTTAACAAAGGAACCATCGAACAAACTCACTGAAACTTCGCAGATTCCGCCCTGCGCAACGGATTCCCTGGCTATTGGATTGATCCATTCCCACTGTTGCCCGCACTTTTCAATGCAATTTTTTTCACAAAGAACGACAATGAAAATTCATCCATGAAATTCGGATCGGAAAAGCATATTTTTCTGCAACACGCGAAATTTGCTTTTGCTTCGAAAGGACGAATAAAAAGTGAGCGCCTGGCAGATTGAACCTCCGTCAGTTTCCGGAAACTTCTCGCATGGGATTTAACATCGTTGGGGACGTCGTTCTCGTAAAAAAAAAAACCAACTCGCATTTTTTAAACTCCCAACGCATCAATAGTTGGCATTAATATAATAAAATGTAGGTATACTTACGTAGTCAGTCAGCCGGGGCGTCGAAGACCGATGAGCATCAAGACCCTGTGAAGTGAAGGGGAAAGAGACATGAAAAAAAATGTCTGAGTTACAATATTCTCGACCGGGTCACGACAAAAGTTGATTTCTGCGGACAGGGCGAAGAGGGTTCACAGGAAGATGGAGTGAAATCGCGCTCAAAAGTATCATGCATGCCAGTTTTTATCGATCGCCACAGCAGCATCTGCGGAGAGGGGGTTGCGGGGGGTGCCGTGCATGGCCGCAGATTTTTTACGCACTGATTGCCTCGCCAGGGCACAGCTCCCACCCCGCTGCCGCTCACATCCCATCTTTAATTCCGCCTGTTTAAAAAACGCGCATCCTCCGACACTCTCCCCCGGACTGGAACAAACGAAGGGGGAAAATCCATCGCCAACTGACATTGTTCAAGCTTGATTCCATTCCCTCTTGTACGCACATGTCGGATGCACGCGCAGCCCGGCGAGGCACAAAGAGCACGCTCTCCCATATTTTAAACTCTGCTTCCATTAAAAATCGTCGCAGTGTAGATAATTTCGGCATTGTACTCTTTCTGGCTCGTGCCAGCGATCAATACTCCGTCGAACGGGAGCTTTATAAAATTGAAGCTGTACGAAAATCTCGGCGGAGGGGATGCATGTTCTGAAACGGGGCGCAGCTTTGATTTCAATCACTGAGTGCCTTCCCCCTCTTTTACTCTGCTCTCATTCCTTCCCTCAGCTCATTGAATATGCATGGAAAGGGTTGTACTCATCATCATCAAGAAAAAATTCCGGCTTCGTCGTTCGCGACGGGCTGGGCGCATGCCGACTCGACCAATGGGGGGAATTTGCATACTAGCTTCCTCGTCCAATTAAATCCTTGCCTCGGCCTCATTTGCATTCTAATTTTCTGAGCCCCGGTTTCGCTGAGCGGCAGCCATCGCTCCTCCCTGGCATCCGAAATGCGCGCCATTTGCATCGAAAACGAACGCCTAGGCGCCGTAATTGCAAAAATTACTCCATTATCAACACTTTCCGAGAGAAATGAAAATTGCTTTTTGAACCGTGCCTCATGAAGCTAAAGCTACGGGTTTGACGCACATGAATCAGGCATGTCCGTCGTAATTCGGGCTCGGATTTCCGAACAAATATTTACTGAATTCCCTACTGTTTAATTGACGCGATTCTCAAGGAAACGCCCTAATCCATGTGTTCCAAAATGCAAAAACCTATCCGAAATCGTCCTGATGCCTGATGAATTGAGGCACAACTTCCATGAAAATATTTAATTTTAAATGACCACTCGACATCTATTATTCGCAGTATTATTTTCCTGATTCAGAAATCTCATAGCTTAATTGTTTTTTACTTTTTCCATATTCACAGCGGGATATCTTTTTTTTTCAGTTCGCTGATACCTTCAACGGGGTATTTCCCGAATGAAAGAGCTTTCGGGTCGACGAGAGATGCAAGGTAAGGGTGCAAGAACATATCAGCGTGGTGGAACAAGGTGATAAGAGGGACATGGTCCAAAATCGGCGGAAAAAATAAGCAGAAAATATAAGCGTACTTCCGAGAATATTCATCGAGACCTGACTTGACTTAACGAGGGGCTTGCATCAATAATCGGACGGGGGCATGCATTCCGGGCAAGCAGTATCACGAGACAGCGCGGAAGGAAGTTGTGCTCGCAGTAGGAAATAAGACAATGGGCAGTTGTCGCGCCGAGAGCGAGAAGCGACGCGGAAAACACGGTGATTTTGCATCAATGCCACTCACCAGCAGAAGTTGCCGAGGCGAAGGACTCCACGGAAGGCGACATGTTGGCAGGGAACTTGACATCGCCCAGCGGGAAACCAGACAAAGCCCCCGAGCACAGCTTGGCCAAGAGTTGCTCGGCAGTCGGCTTGTCCATGCGGCTCGCCTGGTCAGAGCTGCCGAACCCGAGCTTGCCGAGACCTCCACTGCCATTTGTGGGACCCGACGAGCTCTTCGACGTCTGCTGCATCACCAGCGACGGGAACTGCGAATCAGCTTCTTCCAGGAACGTCTTCACGGTCTGGATGTGTTGATGCGAAAACAAATGGTCTTGGATCGCGTACTTGTGACTGTACTTGACGCCGCACAGCTTGCATTCTTCCGGCATCGCGTTCTCGCTGTTTGGCTGCGTCAGCGAGCCGTCCGATTGCTGCAGGATCCAATTCTTCTTCATCTTGGCGCGAGCGTTCTGGAACCACACCCGTATCACGCGCTTCGGGAGCCCGATTTCTTGGCCCAGCAACTCGCACTCGGCCGTTGTCGGCGTTTTGTAGTCCTCGAAAATGGCTTTCATCACCTTGACCTGCACGGTGGACATTTGAGTTCGGAACCGCTTACTGGCGGATTTCGGCGACGCGCTGTGTGACGAGTTGTTGCCCAAACTCGGCGAGGCACCGTGCAGCGACGTGCTGAGCGGCGACGACGGGGAGCTGCTGTTTTCGTTGTACATGTCGCCCTCTAGGAAGTCCGCAGACTCCGAGAAAGTCTCTGATCGCGTGTCATCACAGCCTTGTCCCATGAGATCATCGTGTTCATCAAGTTCGCCCCGAATGGCTTTGGTGAGATCCATCGGCTTGCTCAGGTCAAGCGGGGCTTCCGCGTGGCCGCCCGGCTTCGCTCCATCCAAATTCACCTCGGTTTTGTTGACATCCGCCGCCGCTCTGCTTTCCAGTTCGGCGAGGTATTTTCGCAGCGAGTTCCCGTAGAAGTGCTGCAAGTCCGACTCCTGCATGCTTTCAGACAGGCTAAGCTTGGTATTGCCCTGCCGACTCGCATTGTCCCCGGAGCTGGCGTTGCTGTTACCCAGTGTCTCTTCGTCGGGCAAAGAATCGATGTTGATGTCTTCGACAGAGAACTGATCGGGGTGTTTGGAAGCCAAGTGCGTCTCCAAGGCGGAACGCACGCGAAACAAGGCAGGGCAGAACGGACACCGCTTGTTGATGACTTGAGCGTGTGCTCGGTACTGACCCTTACGTTCCCGGGCCCTGGTGTTCTGGAACCAGACCTGGACGACACGTTTTTTCAGACCCACGTCTCTGGCGATGGTCTCCAAAGCCTTGCGGCTGGGATTGCTTTCCATCTGGTATTTCTGGTACAAGTAGTCCAGTTGCTCCGGCAGGATTGTGGTGCGCAACCGTTTGCCGTGCTGGTCCGGCCCGGGACCCGCGCCGGGGTCTTTCCCCGACTCGTCGAGTTTCCGCTTCGCACCTGAGCTTGGTTGCTGGTTGGCAATGATTGGAAGCTGGTTCAAGGCATGCTCCAGGTGTCCAGTATTTGGCAATGGGGTGTCACGCAACGGGACCACGTTGGAGTCCATCAAATTTGTAGCACGAATTTCGGAACCGAGTGGATTCCCGGAGGCCGCCGATGCTCCCGGGAACAGCGAAAACAGGCTCGGGTTCATGAAATGGATGACCTGATGTTCCTGCCAGAGATCAAAACGCGGGAACGACACGTTGCAGTGTTCGCACTGGAAAGCTTCCTCTTTTGGAGTCGGTTGTTGTCCAGGAAAGGCTGTCGATAGCGTAGGAAACACCATGCTGTTGCCGTCAGCCATGGAGCTGGAGTTGGAGTCCTCGGAACCAGTAGATGAAGCTGCCTGAGCAGCGACAGCAGCTGCTGCAGCCTGTGCCTGAGCCGAACGCTTGGCATCTTCTTCCTTGAAGCAATGAGTCTTCTGGTGGCGTATGAGTTCATAGTAACGCTGGAAAACCAGCAGACACTTTTTGCACTGGTAGTTTAGTCCCGGGGTACGTTGGAATCGACCTGCACCTTCGTCGTTGGGGTCCACGGGGGGTTGATTTTCGTACACCTTTCTAGCCTTCTGTCGGGCGTTTTGGAACCACACGACAATGACCCTTGGACTGAGGCCGAGCAATTTTGACAGGTACTCCAAGTCATCATCCTTAGGATAAGCGTTATTTTCGAAGAACTCTTGCAGCACCTTGATTTGATAATCGGTAAATCTTGTCCTGTTGGCTCTTTTTCCCGAACTGCCGGTTCCTGGACTGGGGTTGCTCATGTCTGCAAAACCCTGAGATGATCCAGTCGGGGTTAGTGAACCGTCTGATCGTGGAGGCAGGGGAACAGGTGAGCCTCCGAATGGCGGGAAACTGGTGACACTCGATGATTGAGCTACTCCCGGGGCGTTGCTGAGCAGGGAGTTCAGCGAGGCTTGAAATGAATGCTGCCTAGCAGGAGTTGAGATATTAAGTTGATTTTGTCCAGGAGTACCGATGGTCAGTGACTGTCCTTGACCGGCATTTTGACCGGGGCTTGCCGAGTCGCCAAAACTTGAAGACTGTCTCTCATGCTCTGCCTTGCAAGGACTCGGTGATCTCATCATGACTGATGGTTCATGTGGGAAGCCCTCTGTCTTGACAATGGTTCCATGGATGTCTGTTGGTTTTTGGTTTTCGATTGAAGCACCAGAAGTCACCGATTGCAATGTTTCCTGGGTGTTGTCATGAGAAGGGGGTTCCACAGGGTTCGAGGCTCCGAAAGCGTCGTCCTTGCTTTTCTCGTACTCCTCGATGTTGAGGGACGTTGACGGCGGATTGTTGAAATTGTACGGCGAATCTTTGTTCCTCTGACGCTCCTTGAAGAGAGTATTTCGGAACCAGTGTTTTATCACTTTCGGAGGTAATCCACTCTGACGAGCCATTTCTTTGATCTGATCTTCAGATGGCGAGTTGTTGATGTCAAAATGTGCCCTGAGAATTTTCAGCTGCTCATCAGTGATTCTAGTCCTTGCTCTCTTTTGCTGCGTTGTTGCCATAGCACCGGCTTGCTGCTGCTGTTGTTGTTGTTGAAGAAGCTTGGGGTTCAGCAAGAAGCCTGGGTCCATTTGAGGAACAACCCCGGGTCTACCCGCTGTCTGAGAAGCTCTGCTGAGAAGTGCAGCAGTTAATGGGTCCCACTGAGCAGCAGCATTCATCATGAATGGAACCAATGGTGGTTGCAGGTTCATGGCTGCCAAGGCTTGCATGTTCATCCCGAAGTGAGGCATTCCGAGCCCGAGTGAGGCCATGAGCATGGGATTCAAATGCTGCATTTGTTGCAAAGCCGCAGGATTCATTTCATTCAATTGCGGAACGGAGCCAGGAGATACGCTATGATTGTTGACTGATTGCCCTGGCATTTGACCCACATTACCAGGAAGGTGTGCTTGGGGCATGGGACTCACTCCTTTCAAGCTCAACGCGGATTCAGATTGGTTTTCAAGCTTTGGCGTAGCTGGATTTACAATAGAGCATCTGTCATCGTCCAAGGTAGCTCTTTCACCATCTCTGAGAGTCGAAGTTTCTCCTGTCGCTTTCCCTCTGTAGGTAGTCTTGAAGTCTTCAGAGAATTTCTCCACAGCTGCCAAGGGAAGAAAATCACCATGAATTTCCTCAGCATGTGCTCTGAGAACCCAAATACTGGAAAAAGTTCTATGGCAGATTGGGCATGTGGACTGGTTGATTTCAGGCAGATTTGGAGTCTCTTCCTTTTTCATGCCTTCATGCAAAGTCAGCCCATCACCAACAGCATGCAAAATGTTTGGCTTCTTCCCTTCTGCAACTTCACCAGATACTTTCATCCTATCCTTTCTTTGATGATACTCCAAAAATTGCATCACTACTTCAAATCCATAATTCTGTAGAAGTTGCTTATGAACAATAGAGGAGCGCCAAGAAGGCAGATCAAACCTTGAAACCTCCCCATTCTCATGACACATACCTTCAGGTTCTAGCTTTGACTGGTCCTCTTGAGTTGCTCCATTCCTCTTGGAAACTCCGGAAGCTACACCCAGATTTTCTTCGGGGTTGTCCGTGGCGATTTCCATCCTTGTGCCGTCATCCACTAGGTTCTCATGCCCTCTCCTGTTCTCCAAAATATCTTGAATTTTTCTCGAAGTTTCTACTTCAGGATTTTTACCCAGTTTGCCCTCTGGGTCAATTTCGTTCTTCAACTCGGGCTGCTCAATCAGAGGAATGCTCAGATCGATTTGCCCACTCATGGCGAGTTCTTGAAGCTTGGAAGCTCTCGTTTGATGCAAAACTGATCGGATGTGGATATCCAGAGTGGCTCCCTGACTGTAGGCAACGTGACAAATGTTGCATTTGTATGGTTTCAATTCTTCGTCTTGAGATTTCAGACCCGAGTACAAAGTTGGAAGTTGGGAAGACCTTGGGCTTGGTAGCTGTTCCTCTGGTGATGTGGGACTTTTCCTGTCTGCACCCAAATCTGAAACTTGCTGGTCCTGCATAACACGCTTCAGTTTGTGTAAATGGCTCACAGAGTTGTAATGAACAAGGAGGATGTTTTTCTGGGTGAATGACTCTTTGCAAATATCACATTTGAAAGGTCGGTTTGGATCCAGGTACTTCTCCATGGGATACAACAACTTGTCACCCTTGCGGTGCAGCAGAGTTTTGTTATGACTAGTCAAATACAGCTGCCTGGTGTATGCCACGCGACATTTGTGGCACTTGTACTTCCTGTTTGGATCATTGTATGCTTCTTCAGCAATGGCTTGGCTATTCAGGTAGTCCTCCAGAAGCCTCTGTTCTTGGGTTACTGGGGCGTCATCAGTGTCTTCTTCCATTTTCTCAGCCCCAGACAAGTTCGTGTCCTCCTCACTGTCGTCTTCTTTAGCCGCATCTGACTTCAGCAACTCAAGCAATGCCGGATTAAGAACCTGGCCCGACAACCCTGGTTGTAGTAACGGATTTGCCAACAGTTTGGCTCTGGCTTGCAAAAGCTCAACCTCTGAACTGTCTGCATGAGCCACTTCCTGATGCTTCAGTAACGCTTGAACAGACCGAAATGTTCTCCCACAAAGAGAGCACGTTGTAGCCTCGCGGATCAAATGGTATTGGGAGTGAACTTGTAACTTTTCCAAGGTTTTGAAAGCCAGGCTACACTGGTTACACCTGTACTTGTAGACATGCTTCTCAGATACTGACAACTGCTTATTTTTATGCGCGTCCAAGAAATGCGCATGTAAAACTTCCGTAGTCGGGAAAACCTTAGTGCAGCCAGGTTTCCAGCAAGAGTATCCGATGCCGTGTTGAGTTTCCCGAACTTCGAGATGACCAAGTTCTGATTGATGTGCCACAAGGTCGTCAATTGTCCCAAAATTAGCAGAGCACGTCAAACATTTCAATTCCTCAAAGGACTCCTGGTCGATTTGGTCTTCAGAAGGGGACGGAGTCCCGTCGACATCATCGTCCAATGACTCATTTTTAACGTTCACATTATTGGCGGCGAACTTTTCTCTCCAGTCGGCCATAGCCAACAATCTTTGCATAGCATCACCTTTGACATGGTGAACTTTCGACAAGTGATGTTCTCTCTCTTCACTTTGAGTGAAAGAGTCTTGGCAAAGGGGGCAGGATAATAAACAACTTCTTTCACACTCACTAGTTTCATCTGGCAATTGATCACACATCCTTGACTTGGCTGACTGCTGCAAGCTCACATTCCCGCCATCATCTCCCTGCAGAGACTCCATATCGTCAGATGGGGAAGCTGCTTGGTCACCGATTGATTGAGGAACTGCAAATAAAAAACAAACGAGGCATATTGCTGTTAAATCGAGGTTTTCATCACAATTAATATCGTCGGTAGTGATTACTGATACCCATTTGATTGACTAATTTCAATTGTCAAAGCTGATTTTTTTCGGAACTGATGACTGGATGCATGGGATCATGCGTTACAATGTCCAGGATACTGTACTTTTATAGTACTGTACAGCAGAATTAAGTATTTTTGCGTATGATTGTGGGGAAAAAACAGCTTAACTTCCCCAGACGGGTATTCAAATTTTTAACTGATTTTAAAACGCATCCGAGTCAGTAAAAGAATTCCAACGCAATATTTTCTTGAAATAATTTACTTGCATGGATTTTAGCAATCATACTGTTCAAGGCTTTTATACAGTAGTATCAATAAGGTACTAAAAGTGCACTTAAAGTAGACATTTTGATTATCTTCAATTTGTAGAATAAAATAGCTAGACATAAAAAAATGAGCAACAGAACGCATATTTTAACCAGATACTGTATTACGGTACTAATACCTGTACGTATTCAATCTTTATTAAAAAAAAATTTTATAAATCTACCTGAACGCTGAGGATATGCGTTAAAGGCATGGTCTAATTAACATCACAGAACTGACAAACAGAAGCACAAGCATGATAAATTAGTGGATAACTTCGTTGTTCGATTATTAATTTCGGAAAGGACGATTTCTGTATTATTTCTTGCACTTTTGATTTTACTTCAACAAAACTAAGATAATACATTAATTTGTTAGCAGAATCCCATCGCAATATAGTGGTTACACTTCGTTTCACTGCTGGGTTGGTGATTTTGTCGTAAAATAAAATAAAAATTGTCGCTTCCAGGGGTGGAAACGCCGATTTTTTTTATTCGTGAAAATACAACCTTTTTCCAAAACTCATTGAAACTAAACTGTATAATTATTTTTAGAAGCTCATTTCTAATTTATTGGTTTCGTGGGATTGGAGGGTTCAGTGAAAAAGAACTCACCTTGGTTACCAGCATCACTTGAAGCATTTTCAGAAGAATCAGTGACGAGAAATATGAGTGATATGTCAGCGGGTGACTCAATGCCTTCCTGACGCCTGCGCATCTGGTACAACTGCTCCATCTGAAGGTGTCGTATTGATCTCACATGGCGTACCAAGTTCATTTTGGCAGTCGATGAAAAGTTGCACAGAGAGCAAGAATACAACCGATTCATCACCGGGATCTGCTCTTCCGCCTGCTTCAAATGCCACCACAGGACAGTGCCGATGTTGTGTTGCGGTCCCTGCGTGTGGAGCGTAAGCTTATGCGTGCTGTTGGCGTAAAAGTCGCACGCGTTACATCGTAGTTGCACAGGCTGATTCACGCTCAGGAACTTGAGGCGCCAATCGTTCTTCGGTCCGCCTTCACGAATGTGATTCACATGCTGAAGCTTCTGCAGGTGTTTGTCTGTCTTGCAATGGAGCTGGAAGTTGGCCTTCAGAGTCGTCTTGTAACTGCATAACTTGCAGACGTAGTTGCCAACCACTAACATCAGAACTTCTGGTTCGCAGGTTTTACTGCGGTCAGCTGTAAGGTGCCTGTTCAGAGCGTCTAGGTTGTCGGAGGATGAAACTGCACAAATGCAGCACTGAAACATATGCGCCGGATTTGGTTCCACAGGGTCGCCTTGATCGAGTATGTCCGGTATTTGCGGCGCTGCGTCACCTTCCACGTGCGGTGTCATGGGACCATGCATACCTGGGATCCCAGACATGGTATTGGAAGCATTGCTTGTGGAACCGAGCGGTGGCGGGAGTTGCCCCGAAGCCATCAGCTGCAAAAGCAGCGCCTGACTGTAGGCCATATCTGCCAAGGCAACTTCCGCGTGTTGCGGCATTGCCTTGTCACCTGCTTGTGTTCCGTTGCCCTGGTTGGAATTAGAGTTGACAGCATTCATTCCGGGAACCATTTGGAGCAGTAAAGACGCAGGGTCAAATCCGGCCTGCACTGCCTGAGCCTGGGCCTGAAGTGACGACAAGTGTTGCATCTGCTTCACGTTCTGCTGCAGGAGAATCAAGTTGTGGGTGTGCTTCTCACTCGTCATGTGAATTCGTAGGTTCCTGGCCACATTTGTCTCGTAGTTGCACACATCACAGCGCCAAGTGGACTTGGGCTTCGCCTTCTGAGTAGATGAGATCACGGGTGGCGACGGGCTTGGGCGGCTGGTGGGCTGCGGTGGAATGCTCATTTCTGAGGACTGGCCAATGCCTGCCCCACCAGATTGCTGCAGTTCCTGCATGTTGTTGAGATGCTTGTCGGACTGCATATGGATGCTGAGGTTTCCCTTGGTGGTAGTGGAGTAGTTGCAAACATCACAGCGATATGGTTTGTAGCCACAGGTGTAAGACTCTCCGCGAGACAACCGCGGATGCTGTTGGTTCATGATGCAGTACATGCACGTTGTCTCGTGGTCTGGATGCTTTTCCTTCATATGGATCTCCAGTGTTTCTTGGTATTTGTAGTGCCAGTTGCACTTGGGGCATTTGAGAGTCTTGCATGAATTCCGGGACTGCATCAAGTTTAGTTGCTGGCTGCCCAGTTGCGGGTTCATCAGCAGATCACAATTTGAACACTCTTTGCCAGGTGGCTTCCCGCTGAAGTGTTCCGGGCAGCCAGGCATTGGCAGGCGACCCACCATATTTCGCGGTGGACTCGGGATCGGGGGACCAGACTTTCCACTCGGCTGGGAGCATGAACTGGATCCGCTGAGCCGGGACATGAAAGAGTCTGACCCAGGGCTGGAAGTCGGGAACAGTGGCTTGTTCTCGTTGTCACTGAACGTGGCTTCATCACAGTGTGGCAACATGTGAGCGTGTTCCCCGAGGTCCTGAGACGGGTTCCCACTGCCACTGTTCTGCAGAATCTCGTGCAGAGCGTTTTCGTTCAACAGCTCAGTCACATTGCGCACGTGAATCCCACCGGGTTTTTGCTCGGCTTCTTCGGTTGGCTTTTCCCCCAACGGAGGTGATGCCAGAGCGGTGTTGATCACTGGTGAAGGCACGGTGCCCTGATGCAACGAGTGGCCAGACGCCACAGATGCAGCACCGGGAGACTGCGCACTAATCTCGGATGGTGTTTGGCTCAAGGAGCTGTCCTGGGATGGTGCTACTGGCTCGAGAAACGACAGCAAAGGACCTCGATCCTTCCCCACGCACTGGATCACCGCGGATGTGTTTTTTCTTGCCAACAACTCCTTCTCCTCCGAATTCAGGGAAAGCTTATGGTCCGCCATGGCGTGTCCGACGAAGGACTTGACATAGCCAAAGGACAGTTTGCAGATGAAGCACATGAGGATCGGTTTGATGGGAACACTGTATTCAGCCTCTAGGTTCAGAGCACTTTTCGATGTTTCTTCCGCAGGCACCCTTTTTGGTTGCACTGTTCCCTTGGGCCCGGGGCTCTCTTTGGTCTGGCCCTGGTCACAAAGCGTGTAGACACGGTAACTGTGCACCACAGGTGCATCTGGAACCTTGGCCTTGTCGTTCATGAGACGGAAGTAGCCCTGAGAGCACAGTGCTTGATAGAAAGGGTTCCGTGAGACGAAAAAAGCTGATGCAAGGCGAGGATATGACTGAGACGATGCCTTCTCCGGCGAGAAGCCAGGGGACTCGATGATGGCATCCTGCTTAAGCGGTAGGCCATCCTCGAACGGCACATCGGTGCCCTCGATTATGTAGGCAGACCCATCAGAGTTGTACACTATTTTCCCGTCAAACTTTTCAACGTCACCGAGGAGGCTCATGTTACATTCAGCACCCAGCACGTCGAAGCACGCATCACCGCCCTCTTGGGCAGCTGGTGGAGAGCTAGAACAGCCACCTTCTGGACTCATGACAAGCTCGGCAGACTCGCCGGCAGTGGTTGGCGGGGAGGGGTTCTCCGAATCCTTGTGGGCATCCGCTGTGTCCTTGGTGTTGCTGCTGGACTGTGATGCATCCAACACCGGACTCGCTGTTGTTGCATCAATGGAGGATGACTCCATTTGGTACAGAGGCTTGCAGTCCTCCCTTGCCAATGCTCGGCAGATTGCATCACAGTGGAGCAATCAGGCATGTCAGTAATTCCATCCACACCTTTGGAAAATAGAGAAAGACGGAAGGAGACAATTTATTCTCTTGTACACTTTTACAATCTGACAGGCTATGAGCGAGGAGCACGAAACAAATAACGCCCGCGAAAATTGTATGGGTTCCGAAAGAAACTCGCCGGGATTGACATAAATGATGACGATTGATTCCAGAGATAAAGGCATCAGTTCGATAGAATTTTCAACTGTTGCCATGCATCGTGCTTTCGTGAAACAAAGCTAAGGTACCACGCAATCCCACTAAAGGCAATAAGCAAAGGTCTATTGTATTCTCATTTCAATATCCTTCTTGTATCTCTTCCAGCGACAAAATTTGAAAGCCGCGGCGGACTTGGAAAATAAAAGAAGATTACTGTATATGGTTAGCGTCCGTAAAAATGTTTCCAACTTCTCCCAAGTTAGTGAAGCATTTCGGCAGTGGAATCCTTTCAGAAGAACTTTTCACAACAATGGAAAAAGTTTTAGCTCAGTAAAAAATAGAATATGTTTTTCGGAAGGATGCAAGGTTGCATTCGAAGTCGCGTCGCCTGGGTTTAAATGAGAGCAGCTGGAACAATGCGAAGGAAGTAATGGCCCAGCTTCGTGAAAAAACAGGGCTTAAAAAAAGCGGAGTTGACGGCTATGAGGCCAAAAAAAAAAAAGCCCGGGGTACAAGAACATTAACCAAATATGCGTGTATACCCGCAGACAGCATAACACAGTGCAGAGTATTCGCGTCCGTAAAACCAACAAAAACCAGCAGTTGCTCATTTCATTCACTGCCGTAATCGACAAAACCGTCGGGAATCGTCGATCCCTCCTCCCAGTGTTCCTCGAGGCAGCCACGAGTGGGACTCATGCGAAAAATCGTAATACTCTGCTGTCATGTGACGCCTAGGATCGACTCGCCGGCCAAAACTTTTTTTTTTTAGGGGATCGCGTGGACGCGAATTTCATGCAAGCCCGAGAATGTATAAACGACGTTGTCGCGTTGTTCCTCCTGCCATCTAATTTTCGGCAATCTGCGGAGACGTAGCAGCATCTCGCAGTCGGAAAACTTGGATCAACTTCCTCCCGCGGACGTCCTGTAGCTGTGACGAAGACAGCGAAATTTCCTGGGTTTTCTCCCCCACTGCTCGACTCCTCCCCGGTGATCACGTTTGAGTTGAGTAATCGATACGCTGCGGAAATGAGACCACGGGCAGGTCTGCAAAACGTCAACAAAGCGACCGTGTTCCGCCCAGTGCGAAACAGAGGCTCTTGCGACCTCGATCAACGACCAAGCATGACGGCTGAAATCGCAAGTTTCGGCTCGCATGGTTTCCGGCAGCCGCTGTTCAAATCATTGTCGAATTACCGAAATGAAGCCTGGTGAGACCTTGCGAGCATCGGAGACCGTGGTACGGAACACCCGGTCAGTTGGTACGCGAGATGTTGCGCATACGTTCAAGTTGATCCTTTGAAGGAGAGATACGCGAGGGGGGGATGAGGGAGCGAAAATGAACCGAAATTGGGGGCGGGATCGAATGAAAGTTTGATCGGAAGACATTCAGCAATTTGATTATGAAGAGTATGTTGCGCGGACCATGCGAAATACGCATATAATTGCGTGATCCAGTTGATCTTAAAAGCATACTCGGTTCCCAGGGACACCGTTAAGTTTTGCTACTGGTACCTGCCAAAAAAAGGTCGACGAAACTTCCAAGTTACGGAGGCAGCAACGCCAGGGCGTGGATTGAATACAGTGCAGTACTGAATTTACAGTAATTCTGTAAAATGCACAATTCTATAAAATTTTAGATTGAAAATTACACACGAGGAAAGCGTGGATTCGTTTTTTTTTTTCAACGGGATATTTACAGTCGAAATTTATATTCACGGCATACATGGGTGCGAAGTTGTACCGATGCTCTGCCATCAAATGCCATCATGCCTGAAGTCCAACTGAAATAAACGAGTCAGCTTAAATTTGAGTGAAAATTTAGCTTTACTGCTCTCGTGGTTTGACTTGAAAAAAAAAAAAACGGATACATATTTATCTGACCTCTTTCTTATCCACGAAATGCACATGAGCATCCTCACTTACATGCCCCAACACTTGTCTTCTGAAAAAAAAACCCGGGTGTACATGGTACAGGAGTAAATATGGCACATTTGTTGGATGCATGCATTCCAGCAAAGCACACGTGCAAGTAACTAGGAAGCGAAGTGAGCGTCTCCGAAGTCATCATCAGATACGAACTGAAAACAATTGTTGCGATAACGGGTACAAAAGCTTTGGGGTGAATGAATCCACGGCCATATGTCCACAGAGACAACCAGTTATTGATGCATGGACTAGACAATTGGGCCGTCGCTAATGAGCCGCGACAAGTAACATAAACCGACACCTTCGTCACAGTCGGAATAACCCGGGCTGCGACAAAAGAGACATCATTTTAGCCGACGCGACACGAAGGTCCCAGTCCTTATCGCATTCCTTCTCCAGAAATTCGCAAACAGACCTTTAGGGATCATTATGGGGTTTTAAATAGGCAAGAACTAATCCGTCCGGGGACGGTCTGCGTGTTTCGCAAATTAGTTCGACGGGGCTCGCGGCCTTATACCTCATTCCGCGGCCAGCGGGAAACTCATATAAAATGCATCGGCTTTCCATCTACTGCCTGACAGTGGCAAGTAGAAGACACTGCCGGCATAAACCCACGACAGCATGTGTCCATACAAACACGCCGACTGGCAAATTAGCCTCTAACACGACAGTCGTCGACTCACCCGTCCCGTTTCTACGAGCAATTCCGACCTTCTGGAGACCCGAGATTTTCTGACCGACCTCTGCTCTTCGGACTTGCAGTCGCCCAAGTATTTCACTTCTTTCACGATTGGTTATCTAAGCATCAACTACGGCACAGCACTTGCTAACTGACGCTTTTGCCCATATAGCTCATAATCTTTTCTGGCGAAAACAAACGTCGATTTCCAGCTTTGCGCGCGCACTCGGTGAACCCGAAGGTTACTGGAAACAAACAAAGGTTGACACGGTCCGCATGACGAGTTCCCGCTAAAAGGAAGATATTCTGTCGTATCTGTAAGTAGCTCGGAAGCTTTATTTTCATCGATAAATTCAGCCGGGATGCCTCTTCACAACATCCTGTCTCCTTTTGTTTCATCTTCAGCTGCTTTCCGAGCATAGAAAAAAATAGATTCATGAGCGCTGCAACGAAATTATGATGCAACGAAAGCGAGAACCCGGGAAAAATAAGTCTTACCCACTATAATTTTATTCAATTGCTGGAAGAACTGTTCAACCCGGCGATTCTAAAAGTATTGTAGTAGCAGCTGATTCATTTACACCAGGAAAATGATCGTTATTTCTGGAATTGTGGAAAAACACTGCTGAGTTCCGTGGATCGGGTGGATTTAAGCATGGTCCGAGATACTAATGGAAAGAATTTTTTTTTAATAAATTACCGTTTGATCATGAGTATATTTTCTGAGAAGGACACGAAGTGAATAATTTTTCATGGCTCGAATGCCCACAGCCTTGTTCGCTTTCTTGAATTAATGCCTCGAATAACCAAGCCTGAGTCTCCCTTTGTCAATTGTAAATCGGTTGCCTTGACGAGGACAGGGGGGAGTGTTAATGGGTTGGACACAAGTTGTATGCTTTCGAAAATTGTCAGTTGATTGAGTAGCGTGCAGCCAACGAGCAAAAGGTTAAATAAGGCATTCATTTTATGCTGAACGTCGGTCCCCTACCGGCAAGCATGCACCGACTGTTCACTCTAAGCCATTGATCGCGGCAGTGAGCTCACTAAATAGACAATCGGGAGGCTGAGCAAGTCACCTACCCTTTGCGATTCGCGAGATCGGGAACAGAGTCGGGCCCATCAGGCGCCGAGATAAATACGAATTAGCATGACAATCAGCGAGAGTTGTCCGCAGCGCGGTTGTTCAAGTTACATACACCACACGCTCGGCGCCCGGCATCGGCCTTTTCACCGACTCGCCCCAGGTTTGGCATGCTCCCCGGATAATAGCAGGATCTTGTGTCACAATGAACCCTTCCTCTGTTCGCAGCCCCTTTAATATGCAAGTACCCCATTGGCTCCTCTTCATTCGCCTGCATCCAGGCCCGGCACGCAAGCAGGGCGCGCAAGTCTCGCTCGCACGGCATGCAAATGCTGGAGAGGGTCGATGGTTGGTGTTTATTTGTTGGTTATTAACTTCTCGCGGAGGAACCGGGGGGGGGATGGGATCACATAGCAACGAATTTTTTTCCTTCATCTTAATCGACTGTTCGACATGCGCCTGCTTTTTTTTTGCACCACGTGCTCAACTTCTGGCTGTACAACCCCTACCGCACAGGGACAATGTTCATTTAAACCGTCCCCTTCGTGCAACCAATGACGGCACTCGTCAAAAGCTTCATCTCACAAATTGCGACTGCAGACGCATCTGGATTAATTACACGATTCTGTGATTTCGCGCTAGATGATTTTTTTTTCAATTCGCAAAGGAAATTGGCTGCTCGGGAAAAAATCATTTGATGGTTATTCAAGACGAATTCCAGATGCTGTCATGGTGCATGACGTAGGGAAATACATTTTTTGAACTATATTACGACCGACCTGAAAATGCGAGACAAATCGGAGCGTACACCACTTTGATATGCGACATACGCTTGAAAGTAATTTATAACCGTCCAAATTGACCACAATACAAAAAAATTTACTTGGGAAATTAAATTGGACCTCACAGAATATGATCTGAGATCAAATTAATTTTGTCGATCCGTCGAAAAATCGCTATACTGCATGCAATTATCAATCTCAAGTAGGACGGATTAAAACGTTACAATAGGGTATCATCTATTGATCAATTCTGTGCAATCCAACCTGATCTTATTCAATGCGCGG